TCTAATCTTCTGGCGCTCATATGACCTTATGCAGTTGCGAGCGCCGTAAAACCTCTACTAAAACAAACAAAAAAACAAACATTTGTTGTTTTCTCACTGTTGGGGTGGTTAGAGAGTGTTACTTGTAAGTTTTACTTTTCTTCTTTCCGCTGTAGTTTTTGCCGTTGTTGTTGCTTTTATCAAGCACCCCATGACCATTGTCTGTCTTACTTTTCCCCCCAGCATTAAGTGACCTTTATTTTGTTGATGTGCCTCTCTTTACTTTGCTGATTTTTTCATCTGTCTGTATATTTTGATCCAAAAATGTTGTTGATGCATCTGTCTTTCCTGTCCATGTGTTGTTTGTGCTTGATATCTTGCTTATAGTCAGAAATTGATTTCTGTCATGGGTTTTGGAAGAGTCCATAGTTAGGATTTAGATTTCATTATATATATCTTTTGTTGTTTCTGCATCTCTGTCTACTTTTGTTGGTGGTTGGAGGGTGTTATCTTGTAGGTTCCCGTGCACTTTTCTAGTTTATTTGTCTGGCTACTTTTCTTTTCCCCAACATTGAAATAAGTATTAAATCGTCTTTATCGCCCCTCCTTCTTTTTTGTGTTTGTTACTCTCTTGTAACACTTCTAATCTCTGGCGCTTATATGACCTTATTGTGTTGCAAGTGCCATAAAACACTTACTAAAACAAACTCTAACTAAATCTAAAACTAAACTCTTGTGTAACGCCTCTAATCTTCGGAACTTATATGACCTTATTGCGTTGCAAGTGCTGTAAAACTCTAACTAAATCTAAAACTAAACTCTCTTGTAACACCTTCAAACTTCAGAACTTATTTGATCTTATTGTGTTGCAAGTGCCTGAAAACTCTAACTAAATCTAAAACTAAACTCTTGTGTAACACCTCTAATCTTCGGAACTTATATGACCTTATTGCGTTACAAGTGCTGTAAAACTCTTACTAAAACTAAAACAATGGCTTTTTCCCCCCCAGATTCTGTACATGGGTAACGAGAACGGCCGCACAGTGAAGGACACCCTGGAAGCGCTGGCCTCTGAGTACCGTGTGTGTGTGGCTCAGTCCGTGGACTATATTGACCTGGGTATCCCCTCTAGGTATGTTCTGGGACACGCTGGGTCTCTCATGCTTAGTGATAGGGAGAGGGAGGGATAGAGAGAGAAAGAGAGAGGGAGAGAGAGAGAGAGGGAGGGAGAGAGAGAGGGAGGGAGAGAGAGGGAGCGAGAGGGAGCGAGAGAGAGAGAGAGAGAAAGAGAGAGAGAGGGAGGGAGGGAGGGATTTGTTTAAAAAAGGCACCACCCTTTGGTCTTTATTGAATTGTCATTTTAGGCATATTTTTGTTTGTTTTGCTTATATGACTTAAGCCTCATTTTAAATGGCTGCATGACTGACAAATGAGTATTGTCAGATGTAAAATGGTGCCTCTTAGAAAGGTATCATTTAAACAGTTATTTACTTCACTGCCCTATCAGACAGCTTAGTTCTTGTTGAGTCCATGTGTGTGCCTTTCTAAACTGTCTCATGCTTTACCATCATCAGTATCATATCATAGTAGATAGCAAGGAATAAAAAAGGGTTGAGACTGGTAGAATATTCAAATTTTATACAGTAGGTTCAACGTTTCGCCCGGTAAAGGGCCTCATCAGGAACATGATCACCAACATAATCATCATCATCATTATTATCATCATCAAATTTGAAAGACATTTCCTTTTTCCAGTTTTTTAAAAATTGAAGTATAATAATTGCTACCATGATGACATTTTAAAAATCTTACATAAAAATATCCAACATGGACTCAGGACAGAGGACTTAAAAAAAACCCCAAGAACTCCCCCCCCCCCCCAAGAAAAAGCCAAACTGTGTCACGGCTTTTGTTCTTGACTTTCCCAGAGAAACGTCAAACGCGGTGGTGTCGCGACTGATCGAGAAGCCGGCCGCCAACACTGTTATCTCCTTCCTCCACACGGAGTACGTCAATTCCGTTCTCAAGGCCGTCGGTCGGTCTGACCGCGCCAGGGGCAAGCTCAGGTGTGTATTTTTGTTTGTTCAGTGTGTGTTGGTGGTGACTGTTGACTACATTTTTCGTTTTATCGTTTTCCTTTTATCCGCCGCTTATACCATTTTGGGTGTCGGGGGAAGAAAGAGACGTCTCTCTGCCACCACTATCAATCTGTTGAAATACCTATTCTTTCTCTGTTAGATCTACCTATATCAGATCTGTCTCACCCATTTACAGCGCTGCTGTCTGTTAGATTCTCTTACACTGCTATTTAGTGGGTGGTCGACAGGTGCTCTTTTGTGGTTTGCTCCTTCTTTCCTATCAAACACCTATCGTCCTTATCTCTCCTTCTGTTTTGCATTTATTACTCTCTTGTAATACAATTTTTATGGAATTTTTAATTTTTGGTTCAACAGCTTTACATCCTTTTAAAAACACATTTTTGTGTGAATTTTACTGAAAAACTTTGATCCAACAAAAAAAATGTAAATTTTCAGCTTCCAAGGACTCTCAAGCTGTGGAAGTCACTTAACCTTGGCAGCCCTTTTCTCTCTAATTTTACCTCTAAAACTAGGTGACCTCCACCTCCTTTTATTGCAAATATCTCAACTTCTATTGAAGATAGATTTTCTTTTCTCCGAAAGCAAGACAAATGAACAAGCTTTAAAAATAACTCTTAAAATAATGTTCTAGAATTGAGGAGCGCCTGATTCCACTGCGTCATGACACATATGTGGGCTATTGTAAACCGAATTTGTCTGTTGGGATCGATAAGACTGTAAATCTGTTCCCTTTTAATGACAGATTTTTCGGCTCGGATGCGTGGGCCGACAACCAGGAAGCTATAGAGGATGCCGAGGATTACGCCGTGGACTCCATCACCATCAAGCTGGACTCCGACGATGTTGAGGTGAGGAAAAAATTCTGGGTTGTTGACTTCTCTCGTGGGTGGTTGGCAGGGGCTGTGGTGTGGTTTGCTCCTTCTTTCCTGACAAACAGGTATCGTCCAGATTCTCTTCTCCTATTTTCTTTTTATCTCTCTCTTGTTGTGTTTCTATTCTTCGGCACATATATGACCTTATTGTGTTGCAAGGGCTATAAAATACTAATACTTTAAAACGGACTTTTCTTGTGTACTAGGATTGTTCACACTTGTTTATTGGACTGTCTGTCCGTTTGTTTGAGGTGGGTGGTTAGTGGGTGGTGTGGTGTGGTTTGCTTCTCCTTTTTTCCTATCAATCATGTATCATCCAGATCTCTTCTCCTTTTTTTTGGTGTAGTCTGCTTCTTCTTTCCTATGAAATATCTATCGTCTTTATTTCCCCTTCTTCTTTTTTACGTTTGTTACTCTCTTGTAACACCTCTAATATTCTGACGCTCATGTGACCTCATGCAGTTGTGAGCGCCGTAAAACCTCTACTAAAACTAGAAACACATGTTTACCCATTCCCCTTTTTTTCGCCCTCTGTTCCAGAGCTTTGAGACGTACATGAGCTCTAAGACACTGGCCAACTCGAAGGAGAACCCTTGGTTTGAGGAGTACTACCAGGAGATCCACCAGTGCTACACCTCCAAAACCAACACCATGGGCTACCCGCGCCAGTGCCCTTTGTCCCTGCAGAGCATCATCGACAGTCGGGGCTACCAGCAGGACCCGGGGGTCGTCTATGTCATGAACGCCATCTACGCCGCGGCGTACGGTCTGCACGCCACTCTGCAGCAGTACTGTGGTGGGTTGTGTACTCTGTGTGTGTGTGGAAAGGGGGGGGGGCATGTGTGTGTTGGAGAGTGTGTGTGTGTATGTGTGGGGAGGGGGGGGGGAGGGGGGGGAATGCTTTTGTGTGTGTGTGTGTGTGTGGAGGGGTGGGGGGCATGTGTGTACTTATATGACCTTATTGTGTTCCAAAGGCTGTAAAACACTTTCTAAAACTAAAACACAATTTGCAGGTAAGAACTACGCTGGTGTCTGTCAGGCGTACAGTAACAACGTGCTCCGCCGGGAGCAGCTCTCCACGAAGCTGGCGGATGTTGAGTTCGTTGACCCTGTTGGCAATAAGTTCTTCTTCGAAGACAGGCATGGGGTCTCCAGTTTCCGGTTCAACAGCATCGTCAAAGGCAGCATCGTCGGCGCCAACTACATTCAGGTGAGATGAGGAGCAGGAACTTGTACTTCATCATCATCGTCGTCATCATCATCATCATCATCATCATCATCATCATCATCATCATCATCATCATCATCATCATCATTGTAAACCGCAGAGAATAAAACAAGGGTTGAGTGATAGTAGTAGTAGTAGCGGAAGTAGTGGAAGTTGCAGTAACAGTAGTCGCAGTAGTAGTAGTAGTAGTAGTAGTAGTAGTAGTAGTAGTAGTAGTAGTAGTAGTAGTAGTAGTAGTAGTAGTAGCAGCAGTAGCAGCAGTAGCAGTAGCAGTAGCAGTAGCAGTAGTAGTAGTAGTAGTAGTAGAATCATCCTCATCATCATCATCATCATCATTGCCTTTCTCAACCTGGATCAGCATATCCTGGATTAGCCTTTCGATGTTTTTCCATGTCTTCCCACAAATGTTTCTGATACTTTCGATAAAGTTAATTTTTTTATAGCGACCATATCAGTCAGTGTGACTCAGGAACTTTGACTGCTATAATATGTAGCTCGATTTGGTGGAATCAGGCGCTCGTCGATTTTTGGGTATATAGAGTTATTAAAAATGTCTTGAAGCTTGTTCATTTGTCTTGCATTTGGCAAAAAAAAATATCCATCTACCTTGAATTGAAGTCAACATATTTGCAATCGAAGAAGATCGGGTTGCCTAGGTTCAGTGGTTAAAATTAACGAGAAAATGGCCGCCAAACGTTGGTAAATTCAAAGCTTGAGAATCTTTGAAATTTCAACAATTACAAAATGTGGCCTTTAATCAACGTTTCCCAGGAAAATTCACATGGAAATGTGCCTTTATATGGACATAAAAGATGTTGAGCAAAAAAATTAAATTTTAATTAAAAAATTTCCAAATTGTCAGAAAAAATAGCTTTTTTCTTCGATTTGATTATTTTGACGAGCGCCTGATTTCACCATGATGCCTGACATATTGTCTAGTCTCTGGCGACTTGGGGTCTTTTGAAGTGTAACTGAAATGAAAAAGTATTCTGTCAGATGTAGGACTATTCTGCTGTTGGTCTTATCATTTTCCGTTGCTACGATGTCCAATTTAAAATCAGTGTTGACACTAACCTGACCAAATATTTTTTTTTTAGTTTAGTCAAACTCAAACAAGCAAATTAAATGCTTTTGGAGAGTTGACCATGTGTGTTTTCATCCCTTACCCCTGCCCCCCCCCTGCCCACACACATATTAACGCACACACACCCTAACACACACACACCCCTTTCACCCCTCCCCCTCCACCACCACACCCCTTCCACCCCTCCCTCCACCCCTCCCCCCACAGATCGGCTACTACAACACCAGCGGCGGTACGATCTCGGTGGACAACAACTACGTGTCCAAGTGGAACAGCGGCTGTAATCGCGAAGACGCCTGCTCCGAGTGTCCGGCCATTAGAGACTCCAGCGTCCGCTACCTCATCCTGGACAGGTAGGTCCCCCCAAAAAAAAATGGTGAAATGGTATAGGTTTAAGTTTAGTTTTCGTAAGAGTTTTATGGCACTTGCAACACAATAAGGTCAAATAAGTGCTGAAGAATAGATGTGTTACAAGAGAGTAAAAGGAGGAGGAGAGATAAGGACGATAGATGTTCTTGAAGGAATTTTAACTAATGTCGGAAAGTTCAGTGTTGTATTCTTCTAGGAATTTTGATATCGGAAGGTTAAGAGATGTATTCTTGTAGGAATTTTGATGTTGGAAAGTTCGGTGTTGCATTCTTGTAGGAATTTCAATGTCTGAAATTTCGGTATTGCATTCTTGTAGGAATTTTGATGTCTGAAGTGTCTTTACACCATTCCCAAAGGGGGGACATTTCTCGTTTTAGTGCACAGTAGAATTGTAAATGGGCTGATCTAACAATGTCATAGTCGAAGCAGACTTTGTGCTGTTGAAGCTAGAGAGGTGAGCAGAGTAAGTCTGATTCTCTGTAAGGACTTCTCTGTTGACATCCACCTCTTGGCAGTCATATGACTTTATGAAGTTGCGAGTGCCGTAAAACTCTACAAAAAAAAAAGAAAGAAAGTTCAGTGTTGTATTCTTGAGTTCCACTCCCTTTTTGGTTTTAGTAAGTTTTACCGCCTTTGCAATACAATAGGATTGTATAAGTGCTGAAGATTAGAGGTGTTACAAGAGGGTGATAAACACAAAACAGGAAGAGAGATCAGAATGACAGATAGTTTTACTTCTTTACTAACTTTAAGATTCTGTTTTTAAGGCCTTTTTTGGTAGTTTTCTTACTTTCTTTGTCTACTGTGAATGGAAGATTTGTTCCCTGAATTTTACTTGAAGTCAGGACTTTGGGAACACTCCTGACAAAAACCACTGAGAACTATGTTCTGTTACTTTGCTACAGGGCATGGAGATTTTCCTTCTTCTAAAAGCGTTGAAAGCTCTGTTACTTTACTGCAGTGAATGGAGATTTTCCTTGTTCTAAAAGTGTTGAAAGCTCTGTTACTTTACTGCAGTGAATGGAGATTTTCCTTGTTCTAAAAGTGTTGAAAGCTCTGTTACTTTACTGCAGTGAATGGAAATTTTCCTTGTTCTAAAAGTGTTGAAAACTCTGTTACTTTACTGCAGTGAATGGAGATTTTCCTTGTTCTAAAAGTGTTGAAAACTCTGTTACTTTACTGCAGTGAATGGAAATTTTCCTTGTTCTAAAAGTGTTGAAAGCTCTGTTACTTTACTGCAGTGAATGGAGATTTTCCTTGTTCTAAAAGTGTTGAAAACTCTGTTACTTTACTGCAGTGAATGGAGATTTTTCTTGTTCTAAAAGTGTTGAAAACTCTGTTACTTTACTGCAGTGAATGGAGATTTTCCTTGTTCTAAAAGTATTTAAAGCTCTGCTACTTTACTGCTGTGAATGTAGATTTTTCTTGTTCTAAAAGCGTTTAAATTTCCCAACCAGTTTGGGCTCCTTCCATCGTTACAGGGCATCTCTTACAGGTCCATCTTCTTTTTTTATTTTTTGTCTCTGTAGTTTGCTGTCTGTCTGTCTGTCTTGTTTTTTCATTGCTTTAAACATCCGTTATGGTGTAGATATGTTACCTTCTGTTTAAGTGGCGTCGTTGGCCTAGTGGTTAGACTACTGGACTCGCAATCATGAGGTCGCGGGTTCGGGATTCGAGTCGTGAGCCCGACGTTGTGTCCTTTGGGAAAGGCGCTTTACATTAATTTTCTTCACTTCACCCAGGTGGGAATGGGTACCCGGCCATAGACAGCGAAAGAACTTGTCAGTATTTTAGTGTTTTAGCGCCTATAAATGGCTGCTTGCACTGTATGCTTCCCAGAAAGTTGAGGTTGTTTCACAATGCTCTGTGGTCTGCTGGGGTAATAGTGTAGATTGTTAAACGTATAGAGCTTGCTGTTGAGCGGGGATTTGCGCTATATAAATGCTATCTATTATTATTATTATTAAGTAAGCTTCCTCCATTAATGATAACTCTTGTCTTCTTCCCCGTTTCTTTTCCAGCACCAAGAACATACCAGCGGACGCCACAACGGTAGTTGCGTTCTTCGACGTGCACAAGCAGGGCGTGGACCCGTACCGCTGTGGCAGTCTCAACGTGCCAGGTTTCCACCAGCTGCTAGCCTTCCTGTACAGTGTGGAGAACCTGTTCCTCAGTAAAGTGGAGGTATGTCTGTTGTCTGTCCTGTGTTATCTGTCCTCTGTTATCTGTGTTATCTGTCCTCTGTTATCTGTGTTATCTGTCCTCTGTCCTGTGTTATCTGTCCTGTGTTATCTGTCCTCTGTTAATCGTCCTCTGTTATCTGTCCTCAGTCCTCTGTTATGTCCTCTGTTATCTGTCCTGTGTTATCTGTCCTCTGTTATCTGTCCTCATACCCCCCCTGGGGCGGTGCTACTTACTGAAGTGTGTTTAGACCATTCCCAAAGAGGGGGGACATTAACATCTCGAGTTCGTATGCACAGTAGAATTGTAATTGTAAATGGGCTGATTTATCAATGTCATGCTCATGACTGTGCCTGAACTGCAACAGAGACAGGGAACTGCTGCTTTTTCTTTCCTAATCCTTACTATCGTCATTTTTCCTCTACTTCTTTTGTATGTTTGTCACACTCTTGTGACCCACTATTTCCGGAGTGTCTTGATAATCGAAGCAGACTCTGTGCTGTTGAAGCTAGAGAGGTGAGCAGAGTAACTAGAGAGGTGAGCAGAGTAAGCCTGATTCCCTGTAAGGACTTCTCTGTTGACATTCATCCCTTGGTGCTCATATGACAAGCCCCGCAAAACCTCTACTAAAATAAACAAAACTGTGCCCTTCCTTTGTCTCCCTCCCCCCCCTCCCCTCAGGGCTCTGCCACCAACGGCGTTTACAACAAGGGCATCCGGTTCCTCATCGTTGACACCTGCTCCAACAGCCTGAGGGTAGACCAGGATCTCTTCGGTCTGCTGCAAGGGGAGGGGCTGTGTAACACAAAGTGAGTTCTTGTGTGTGTGGTGACACAAAGTGAGTTTTTTTGTCTGTCTTTTGTCTGTGTGTGTGTGTGTGTGTGTGTGTGTGTGTGTGTGTGTGTGTGTGTGTGTGTGTGTGTGTGTGTGTGTGTGTGTGTGTGTGTGTGTTGTTGGGAGGGGGTCTGTGTAACATAAAGTGAGTTTTTGTCTCTTGTCTGTGTGTTTTGGGGGGGGGGGGGGTTGTGATTCTGATGTTCTTAATACAGGAAAAGAGTTTTTCTTTGGAGATATATGATAGTTGTCAAGCACATAGAGCGTGATGCGGAGCATGGATAATCACTATATAAAAGTTTTTGCAGTTGTTTTAGGGGGGGGGGGGGGGGAGAATGTGATTCAGATGTACTTAATACAGGAAACGTGTTTACTTTGGGGATATAAAATAATTAGTTGTAAAGCTCACAGAGTATGCTGAAGAGCATGGATATGCATTCTATGTAGTGTTTGGTGGCAGGGTTTGAGGGGGGGGGGATGATTCTGATGTTCTTAACACAGGAATATTCGTTCATTGGAGGAAGGAGGAGGAGGGAGGGATAGTAGGACAGAGAGAAAGGTTTTGCTTTGGGAGTATTTTACTCTTTTGGGGATTGGCGATTGATTTGCATTGTTTTCTTTTAATGTCCCTTTCCTTTCTTTGCGTATATTGCGTATGTAGTTTTAAAAATTGTTTTTAAATCCAAAAAGTTTTAAATCTTTTTCTTACCAGTGGCTTGGCGGCTGACTGACTACTCTTTACTGTCTCCTGTTCTGATCAGGGCGATTTTGCGATTTTCTGATCTTTTGATCCTGATCTGATCTTGCCCTCTTTCAGCTTTGACGATGAAGGCTACACCATCAACATGAACAACATCGGTGCTGTAGTCACGTCTGGAGACCACAACACAATGGCCGCCGCTCGTCTGCTGGAGGCGCCCGGAGTGACTTACGTGAGTCCCAACGCCATGAGCCCGGACCTGGACGGTCAGCGTTACCTGGCCCGGACCATCTCCCCCGTCAGCGGTCAGATGCTGGCGCTGGTCAAGCTGCTCAACTCGCTGGACTGGAACTACGTGGACGTGGTCTACGAAGATTCCGAGAATGGAATGGAGCCGTGGGAACGCTTCAGCTACTACGCTAGCATGAGGAAGTACGTTTCCTTCCTTTTTTGGCACTTTTGTATGTTTTTTATTTTTAAAATGATTTTTTTGGTTTTCTGTATGAGTTGCAAGTTCGATAAAACTCTGACTGTAAGTGGTTGGTGGGTGCTCTGGTGTGGTTTGCTCCTTCTTTCCATTCAAACATCTATCGTTCTTATCTCTTCTCTTTCTTTTTTGTGTATGTCACTCTCTTGTAACCCATCTGTTCTTAGGCACTTATATGACCTTATTGTGTTGTAAGTGCAGTAAAACTCTTACTAAAACTAAAAAACTCTGACTAAAAAAAACTAGGTTTTCTGTCGGACAGGTGGGGTGGAGGGGGGAGGGGGGAGTGGGAGAAGGATGGAAGGAGGTGGGGCGACAAGCAAGAGATGAGATGCAACTAGCTTAAGTAATTTGCTACTTTTGGTGTTCCTTTTTTCATTTCATTTCGTTTAGCTTCTCGTATCACTGGTGTTTCAACCGGAAGTAACTATGATTGTCTGTTTTCTGTTTTCCAGAGTGTGCTATGGCAATTCTGTGAGGGCGGCCATGGATGCCAGCGAGGCGGACCTGAAGAGCTTGCTGAACCTGCTGTCTGGAAGCTCTGGTGAGTCGCACAGGTCAAGAGGGGGAGGAGGTTGTTCGTTGTTGATCTTCATTTGGTCGCTTTTAAGCACAAGGGGGCTATCCCAATAAATGCTGTTTTGAGAAAATCGTCGTTAAAAGTTTTTTGATCCTTATTCAGTCTCTTTAAAAGACAGGGAGAGTTTTCTTCATAACCAAACAAATATACATATCAATGAAACCAAACTTCTTCTATAGGCAATATAGTGCCCACTTTTTGTATGGTCAAGATTTCTGAAAACCCCTGAAATCTGGGTTAGCCCACTTGTCCTTATAAGCGACCATTTGTGGTCTTGGTTAGAATACATCCTTATAGTGGGAGGAGGTGGTCATTTAGTTATCTTCGTTTCCACTGTTCAGTGAATTAGCATTTAGCCAGAAATTTGACCCCTTTTCTTAATGAATAATTAATGCTACGACTAGATCACACCGAAAAAATTCTTAAATGATCATGAGTATTTGTTAAACGCGGGTTTCCAATAGGCCGATTACTGTGTAGTATCGTTTGTTCTTTATACGAATTGTGGTATCGGGCGCAAAGTTTCCTCAGTATGTCTTGATTCTATATTTCGAATGCAACAGCAGCAGTTTTTTTAAAAACTGCGCCTCATTATCACACTTTATCACACTAAATTCAGGATTGGTTCGGTTTTCCCTGCGAGGAATTTCGACAACGCTTAGATCTAATTGATTTCACGTTCTACGGATTACTTGATCTAGATCTAGATTTAGTTGTGAAAATGACTGAGCCTCCTTCTAAAAAGCTAAAAACTGGTGGGTCTCAAACTTTTAAGCAGGCTATACTGATGAGTGGCCCGGCATTGTGAATTCTGCGGCTGGTGTTTATCATGCATTTTGCACGCTTTGCAGAACGGACTTTTCCATTGGACACTGTGATCAAATTTTTGTTCTTTTTTAAAATTTTTTTAGTAGGCACCTTCTTCTGGTGTGGTTTACTCCTTCTTTTTTTGGATCACATATTTATCATCTTTATCCACTCCTTTCGTTTTCTTTGTATATTACTCAGTGCTATATCTCTGTGATCTTCCTGTTTATGTTGAAAGTGCTGTAAAACTCTTTACTTTACCTATAACAAAACTTATTTCCTCCTCAGGCTCGAGAGCTGTGGTCCTTCTGGGTGGAGAGAAATTTGTCCGCAGTGTGATCAAGGCGGCCGCCGACTCGAGCGTGGGTCGGGAATACGTGTGGCTGGTGGCCTCTGACTGGGACTTCTCTGAGGATGACCTCAAGGACTTAATTCCCAACGACTACCAGTTAAAGGTGATTGTACCATCAGAGGTGTTGATTCTTTGTCGCCAGAAGGCAATTGGGGTGGAACGCCTAGTCTGGTCAATATATGGTCACTTTTAAGCACAAGGGGGCTATCCCGAAAACGCTGGTTTGAGAAAATTGAACGTAAAGTTTTTGCCCCTTGTTCAATTTCTTTAGAAGACGAGGAGAGTTTTCTATAAAACCAAACAAATATACGCACCAATGAAGCCTAACTTCTCCTTTAGGTAGGGTAATGCCCACTTTTGGTGAAAGTCAAGATTTCTGGAAACCCCGGAAATCTGGGTTAGATCTCTTGTCCTTAAAAGCGACCATATGAAGAAAACAGGGGGAAAACGACGGTTGTCAAAAACTGAAAATCGTGAGGGTACGAATTTTAAACGCTTGTTGACTCATTACTGTATTTTTGTTCAACTGTTGGTTGATTATTGTTGTTAAATTTCCCTTTCAACAACACTTAACGATAAACCACCAGTCAAACAATTTTGAAGTTATGAGTCCACAAGCTTTTAAAATTGACACCCTCACAATTTCCTGTTCGTGACTACAGTCGTTCCTGCACTCCTCCTTCTTCACCTTCTCCAATCTTTACTCAAATGAACAAACCTCATGCTCTTCCTCCTCCTCTATCTCCTCTTCCTCCTCCTCCCCCTCCTCTTCCAATCTTTACTCAAATTAACCAACTTTCTCTTCCTCCTCCTCCTCCATCGCCTCCTCCTCCTCATCCTTCTCAAATATTTACACTAAAACGAACCAACAAATAAATTCTCCTCCTCCTCCTCTTCCCACTCCTCCCCCTCCTCCTCCTCCCCCTCCTCCTCCTCCCCCTCCTCCTCCTGTTCCCCCTTCTCCTCCTCCATCTCATCTTCCTCCTCCTCAAATATTTACACTAAAATGAACCAACAAAATCCTCCTCCTCCTCCTCCTCCTTCTCCTCCTCCTCCTCCTCCTCTTCCTCCTCCTCCTCTTCCTCTTCCTCCTCCTCATCCTCCTCAAATATTTACACTAAAACGAACCAACAAAGAAGTTCTCCTCCTCATCCTCTTCCCATTCTTCCTCCTCCCTCTCCTCTTCCTCCTCCAATCATCACTCAAACAAACCACCCAACAACCCCCTCCCCTCAGATTGTGACGGTCCAGAGAGTGACAGACAAGGTGAGCAGCTTCGACCTGAACTACGTGGCCCAGCTCCGCTACGAGCCGCTGGACGGGGACCGCAACAACGGGCAGGTGCCTCGCCCCTGGTTTGAGGAGTTCTTCCAGCTGGTTCACGGCTGTACGCTCAGCGACGCCATCACCCCCATCTACGCTCCCGCCGGCAGTCCCCCTAGACCCGAGTGTGATAAGAATAAGGTGAGACGGACGGAGGTTGTGGGATTACCTACCGGGGGTGAAGAACTTCATAGTACAGTATAACCCACAAGGCGGTGCCACTGACTGAAGTGTCTTCAGGCCATTCCCAAAGGGGGGACATTTCTCCTTCTAATGCACAGTAGAATTGTAAATGGGCTTATCCAACAATGTCATGCTCACAACTGTGCCTGATCTACAACAGGGAGCTGCTGCTTTTTGTTTCCTAATCCTTACTATGGTCATTTTTCCTCAACTTCTTTTGTATGTTTGTCACACTCTGCTGACCCGCTATTTCCGGGGTGCCTTGATAGTCGAAGTAGACTTTGTGCTGTTGAAGCTAGAGAGGTGAGCAGAGTAAGTCTGATTCCCTGTAAGGACTTCCTTGTTGACATCCACCCCTTGGCGCTCATTTGGCCTTTAACAGTTGCGAGCGCCGTAAAACCTCTACTAAAACAAAAAAAACCCAACAATCGTACAGTATAACCCGGATAGGTTGGACACAGAAGGCTCTAAATCACGCATCCGTCGATCTGTGCCTGCGGTCCCATTTTTTCTTCTCCTTTATCTTTGTAAGAAAATTACGCGAAGCTTGAACACAAAGACGGAATAGTCAAACTAATTAGGCCGCCGTAGAAATCTAAGGTCGATGCCCTTTGAGTGAGGTCTACTTGAGACAAAATAATAATAATTTTTTAAAAAGGAAAAAGACAAGGTGGGTAAGATACTACTTTACTCCCTCCACAGAAGCAGCTAGCAGTGCTATTTTTAGCTCGTTGCTCGACACTCATGCCCATGCTTATGTGGAGCGAGCGAGAGGAAGGGTTGTACATCACACGATCTATTGTTTTGCCCCTAAAGTAGCAATATTTATTGCTTCCCTTGATTCTTTGACACGGCCGATGCCATAACACTGTTCATGTGTCCCTTGAGCTACGGATCGCTCGAACTACCGAGGCTGGTTCCGACGAATTCGAGCTCTTCGTGTTATACTGTATTTATTTTTTATCGTCAAAGTCTTTAGTGCTGGTCTCATTTTGATCATCTTGTCACAAATGGTGCTCAGCTGCTGGGACAGCAAAAACAGTTTGTCCCAATTTCCTCCCTTGCATATTTTTAAATCTATAATGACCTGTGTTAGACAGCCACCTGTCTTGTGCGGTCATTTTTCTCCTTGACTATCGGTGGTCATCTAAGACCGTCTTGACAAGTTCTTTTACCTGCTGTGGATAGATTTCCTCTTAGGAACTCAGAGCCTTATCTCTTTTTGCAGTTTGAAGTGTGTTCAGAGGAACTCTTTGTTTCTTCTTTAAGCCTTTAAACTTCTTTTTGCTGTGCACATTCTTTTACGACGACTTCAACGTCAAATTAGTTTTCGGCTATTACCGAAAACAGGTCTCTTTTACCGGGAGTTCATTCATCATATGAAGAACTGTCAAAATAGGTTCACTTGTTTTGATTTAATGACTGATATAGTGACCTTTATGTCATATTTAGATTTCATACTAAAAGAGGATCCCGGCATAGTGGGTTTACCCCCCTCGAAGATAAAGAGTTTATCCACATTGTCATCTTTATTCGTTGGTGGTTGGCGGGTGCTCTGGTATGGTTTGCTTCTTCTTTCCTATCAAACATCTATCGCCCTTATCTCCCCTTCTTCTTTTTTGTGTTTGTTACTCTCTTGTAACACCTCTAATCTTCTGGCGCTCATATGACCTTATGCAGTTGCGAGTGCCGTAAAACCTCTACTAAAACTAAAAATTAGCATCTTTATTTTTCAGAAGGTCGACGTGGCAGACGTGAATCAGGATGAGTACGTCTTGAACACGATCGCAGCTGCCTTTGCGGTAACCGATGGCCTCAACCGTCAGTTGGTCTCCTGCAACGGCGTCAACTGCAGCCACGCCAATTTGGGCTCCAGCTCCATCCGGGCACAGATCAGGTGAGGGGAGTTACACCTCGAGACTCACCAGATACTCCGAGAAAAGCAGGGCATTCTGATGTTTATTTTTCGCCCATCGAAAAACTCCCAATTGGTTGGCATAAAATTCAAGGTCCCCCCCACTCCCCTCACTTATTGTAAATGATGTGAAAACACACATTTTTATTGACAATTATGTGGTTGTATATTTTGTAGTTTGTTACATAATCTTTTAATATGCCGAGGTTCTGGGGACTGATCCCTTCCTTGACTCTTGTGTATGCTTCCCAGGAAGTTGAAATTGTTTCAGAATGCTATCTGGTCTGCTGGGGTAATAGCATAGATTGTAAAACACATAGAGCTTGCTGTTGAGCGGGAATTTGTGCTATACAGATGCTATCTATTATTATTAAATGCTGTCAGGTCTGTTGGGGTAATAGTATATATTGTAAAGCGCGTAGAGCTTGCTGTTGGGCGGGTATTTGCACTATGCAAATGCTATCTATCTATTCTTATGTATTATTATCTATCTTTTATTATCTATCTATTATTATCTGTCTCTTACTATCTATCTATTATTATCGTTAGGGTGGTTGGGGGGTGCTCTGGTGTGGTTCGCTTCTTCTTTCCTGTCAAACATCTATCTTCTTTATCTCCCCTCCTCCTTTTTTGTGTTTTTTACTCTCTTGTAACACCTCTAATCTTCGGCACTTATATGACCTTATTGTGTTGCAAGTGCCATAAAACACTTACTAAGTGGGTGGTTGACGGGTGCTCGGGTGTGGTTTGATTCTTCTCTTCTGTCAAACATCTGTCGTTTCCCCCTTTTTTGTGTTTGTTACTCTCTTGTAACACCTCTAATCTTCGGCACTTATAAATATGACCTTATTGTGTTGCAAGTGCCGTAAAACTCTTACTAAAACTAAAAATCGTATGACGCAGGGCTCAGATCCTGAACTCGGAGTGGGCACTGACGACAGGCGCTCCTCCGCAGGTGACCTTGTACGACAACACGAATCTGGTGCTGAACTTTAACCCCATGCAGTGGTGGGACACGGGCTACCAGGTCAGGCTCTGGACGGTCACCAAGGATGCCGACGGTGTCGCTACTGTGGGGTCCACAGAGGTGAGTGGCCTGAGTCTGCATGTCTGTCTATTCATCTGTCTGTTCTACTGTCTGTCTGTCTGTTTGTCTGTCTGTCTGTCTGTCTGTCTGTCTGTCTGTCTGCTTGTCAGTGGTTGGTTGGCGGGTGCTCTGGTGTGGTTTGCTTCTTCTTTCCTATCAAACATCTATCGTCCTTATCTCTTCTTCTTTTTTATGTTTGTTACTGTCTTGTAAAACCTCTAATCTTCAGCACTTATATGGCCTTTTTGTGTCAAGATAACTGCGATTGAAGGGGGTGGGGTCGCTTGGTATTAGATGTAAAATTAGCAAGAAAACGGCCGCCAAAGTTTGGTGACTTCTATAGCTTTAAGAGTCCTTGGAAACTGCAAATTTCCACTTTTTGTGCCTTTAATCAACGTTTTCCCATAAAACCCACTGAGGGAAAGTGTTTTTGAATGGACATACAAGGTGTTGAGCCCAAAGAACAGAAATTTGAAGAAAAAAAAAGTCCACACTGGGCGAAAAATGCCGATTTCTGGGATTTAATTATTTTGATGAGCGCCTGATTTCACCACGATATGCCTCACATATAATTTAATATTTATGAATACCGGCATGTGTTTTTAATGGTCCTGTACAGCCAAGAAAGATTTACCTCTATCTTATTTTATCTTATCCTTCCCTTCCTCTGCTTCTCCGGTTGTCCTCAGCTGTGGAAAGGAGTGATCAATCTGTCAGTTGAAGATATAGAGGCGCTGAAGAAACAGGTCGATCTGGAGTCCCGCTGCGATCAGGACACGGCCCAAGGATCTTGCGGTTGCACTTTTGACGTGTACACGCCTGCTCAGCAAGTCACAGATCCCCGAATGACATCGGTTTGTACCTTTTAAAATATTTTTTTTTCCGCTGTCAGTGGCTACATACATGCTTTTTTTTCCGTGTGGGTGGTTGGTTTTTGCTCTAGTGTGGTTAGCTCCTTCTTTCTCATCAAACATCTACCACCCTTCTCTCTCCTCGTTCATTTTTGTGTTTGTCACTCTCTTGTAACACCTCTAATCTTTAGCACTTTTATGACCAAATTGTGTTTCAAGTGCTGTTAAACTCTTGCTGTGGGTGGTTGGTGGGTGCTCTGGTGTGGTTTGCTTCTTCTTTCCCATTGAACATCTATCGTCCTTATCTCCCCTTCTTCTTTTTTAATGTTTGTTACTCACTTGTAACACCTCAAATCTTCTGGCGCTCATATGACCGTACGCAGTTGCGAGTGCTATAAAAGCTCTACTAAAACTAAACTTTTGTTTTAGGTGGTTGGTGTTTGCTCTAGTGTCGTTAGCTCCTTCTTTCTCATCAAACATCTACCACCCTTCTCTCTCTCCATGTTCATTTTTGTGTTTGTCACTCTCTTGTAACACCTGTAGTCTTTAGCACTTATATGACCAAATTGTGTTGCAAGTGCTGTAAAACTCTTACTATAACAAATAAATAATAATAATAATAGATTGCATGTATATAGGGCTCTGTCCTATACTAGTATAAGCTCTGTGCGCTTTACGCCAATCACATAATCATTCCCACAAGAAAAAATATTTCACAGAAACAAGAAAAACCAGTTCAACCACTTAAAGAAGAACTTTCATGACCATACATTAACTAGATCTATATACCAACAACAAAAGAACAACAACAAACCAAAGAACAAAACAAACAAC